TTGTTCCAAATATTCTGCAAAGTTTCATGCACTGAATTATCGAATGAGACAGAAGTATAAGGCTGAGGCCCGTCAACCCAGAATCCCTGAAGCTCCAATTTTCGAACCGGGAAATGGGGATAGGTCCCTTCAACCCAGAATCCCTGATGCTCCAATTTACGAGTTAAGTGATGTGGATGGGACTCTTCGACTCATAATCTCTGGAGAAACGATTTTTGAGCTGAGTGATGTGGTTTCCAAGTCAGATGATGAGGATCCAGGTCTTGGCCTCTTTGGGGATTAGTGGTTAGCTCGAAATTCAACCCGAAACCCCCTGAATTGTCTAGAGTGAGCAAAAAATATTATTCCATTTATTAGACATGTCAGAAGCCTGCATCACAGAAGTATGTGACTATGTATCTGGCTGGAGTGATACAGAGATAGAAATATTTTTTTAATGATATATACTTGGAGAAGTGTAGTCTTCTTCGTAATTATTATATAAAAATTGGAAGAAGACTACACCTTTCCAACGCATAATCAAATAGTATTAACATATATCAAATAAGCCCTGAATATCTTCTGCGATCTGCGTAGTATCCACATTGCTAGAACTAGAGAAATTACCTAATAACAATTCGTCCGATGAAAGCTTACTATAACCATACCTCATATCTCTTCCTTTTTCCCAATAAACTTCTTCTCCTGTTTGGTATAAAGGCAATTCAGGGGCGTCTTTAGTATCGAATGACCCAACTAGATGGTAATGTCTAAGACTTTTATCTATAGCCTTAAATTTTAATCCATAAGTGGCGTAAAGTGATGCATTCAATAAACCAAGTTTTGCTCGAATCGTTTTTAATCCCGATTTTTTAGCACTGCGAGATGCATCGGTATTATCAAACACTCGAGCCATTTTAGGGACTAAATCCTGGAGATATGATATTGATTCGGGGGAATTCAGATGTGTTTTGACATCATCGGCTTTATATCTTACTCTATCATCGATATCTTTAGCTGGCGTGCATATCCTTAATAATTCCAGGCAAATTCGATGTCTCTCAGCTCGGGTGGTAGTTGTAAGTCTGTCTTCCCTGTAATCTTTACGAGTGATAGCTTCAACGGCCATTTCATTGTTAGTACCCGCATCTCGCAACTGCCTATAAGCTCTGAACCATTTCATATGATTATAATTTCCGTACTTCGAGATAAAATCTTCGGTCAATATTTCAGGCGAAATCTCATAACATTCCACGATATGGTGCCGGTCTAAAGAGCGCATTTCTTCTAAAGTCTTTCTTGGCTTATTCTCTAGAAATTCGGCAGTCTCACGATCAAGAATATTAGCATTAGTTATATCTGATATTTCATCTGCTTTAACAACAGAACATTTTGCCTTCACTATTTGCGATAATGTATTTTCATTGGATTTAGAACCGGATTCTATGATGGAAATTGTCATACCCGCTTCTCTAAGAAAATCAACCATCCTCCAACCAAATAATCTCCGGGAACGGAATTTTTCCAACATGAATGCCACCCATAATCGAACAGATGGTACGTCCTTATTCCGGATAATAGAATCCACATCTGGGAATATTCCTCTATTCTGGAGTTCTCGGGGTAGGCATTCACGTTTAGCATTCAACAACCATCGAAATAACCCATCTTCTGTAATGGGGACGTTAGAAGATCTTTGTTCGATATGGCATATATAATCTTTAATGCACCGCATGCGGAATAACATCTGATTCGTTCCGGCGTTCGTTTCTATATAACTGTTAAAGATACAGAACGCCCGTTCGAACTTGGGGTTAGTGCAAGATACTCCTATTTTTAAAGTACTTGTATACGCAACTAGATCAACATCGCTCCATGATTCTTCTACATTACTGAAGTCGTTAGCCTTTTCTTCTGGATCAGATTTACCATGATATTCTTTAATCCTCAATTCTGGAAAATCGGTCTTGAGAGCACGAACGATCCCTTGCACATCCTTTCTGAGATGACAGATGAGTGATGCACTTATTCGTTTATCAGAAGGCAGTGAAGATATTCTCCTAGCCCAATCCCAAAGTTCGGTTAACACAGTTTCTTTATTAGGGGCTAGGCGGAATTTTTTCCCTTCCTGTGGTTGATAAGTATTGTGGATAACTGAGAATGGTTTATCCTTGCGAAGGACCTTAATCCATTCGATATTTAGATCAGTAAGATCATTATCCATGACGATAATACGCCTAGCCTCTTGAATTAATTTATATAGTTTCTCTATTGATTGACCCGCCAAATGACCTTGTGCCTGAGCAATTATAGATACTATTTCATCAAGCCATAAATCATATTGGCTTGGAGAACATTTACATTTTTTATTACATTTGCAATTATTAGTAATACGGTGTAAACTTTCTATCTGACATACTACCCTTTTATGATCAGGTAGATTTATATTACTATCGATATCGCAATATGATTTGAGATTAAGTCTTGTAGTAACGGCATTTGAGTAAGAGTGGCGCGTAGATAATACTAGCAAATTCACATCGTCAGATATAGTAAGATGTTCGAGAATGTATGTTTTACCAGTTTCCCAAGGCGATCCTACATAGATATCACCTTTATCCGGCAATGGTCTTACATATCTCTCGTTATATATTTCTGTCGCTGAAAGGGGCTCATTATACTTAACCCAAGATGGGAATTTTAAGAAGGCTTTAGGTAAACCTGGGCCTTTTATCGTGCTAGGCGCCAAAGATATATTTTTATTTTTTTGCTGAATTTTTTCCGCAATAGATGGGTCGCATTCAAATACATCCCCTGGTTCATCACTATTCTGCCGAAAACATTTTACGATGAATTCGCCACTACTAGCGCATACACGGCCGAACCACCGCTGATCCTTGTCATGTATGCGTTTACAGAGTGGGCATTCTAGTGGAGCTTTTCGGTTAAAATATACAAAGTTCTCTGAGTCTTTTTCTTCGATAGTCCAATCCCTAAGATAGCTAGAATGTTTTTGTAAAACTAATTCTGCGTATTTTTGTAATATATCCTGACCTACGAATATTCTTAGCGGATTATTATTTTTTTCTTCACTAAGTAACCGGGGTCTTACTTCGAGTCCTAAATTAGAAGGTGGCTGAACCCTAACGTGATCGAGTTCATTCCAACCATTATCTAGTGAGAATTGGAGGATTCGTTTCACGCGACCTTTTTTTGCCGAACCAATTAGGCGAAGGTTAAAATTATGACCAGATAGATTCTGATCAATAAACTTGCCGAATTTTTCCTCAGTTAATCTATACACTAATTTGGTGAATGATTTAAGTTCTCGGTGATCAATAAGGAGAGTCGGCGCATATAAGATATGATAACTGCATTTGCTAGGATCCGATGATGTAGTAACTATTAACCCTTTGAGAATGTCTTCCCAGCCACAGTCAAGAATTCGGTACAAGGCTCTTATGAAAGAGCAACAAATTCGAATGAACACTTCCTGTCCCTTAACGCTAGCTGTTTCCATATCTTCTTTCGACGCATCGATATCAATCACAGCTCTTAAAGGCTTTTGACCATTAATACATTCATGAATCCCGGGTAAACCATATACTTCTGAAATGTCATCTGCGACAGAAAACTTGGGAGCCTGATCGTCTTGATCGATTTTGATAACCAATTTATTTTCCACTTCATCCCGATCGTAAGCATTATATAAACTAGACCCTTTTTCATTCGGAAAGAGGAATGAATAGATTGGGAGATCTTCCAATGAGCCTTTTTCATCTGACATATCTCTAGGTGGTGATGAGAAAATCTCCCGAATGGCATTTAGCAAATCCTTAGGGGAAAATTTATCATTAAACTTTTCCTGCCTTAAAGAGTACTGAAATGATGGAGTCGTGGTAGTGCTGGTTGAAGCGCAGGAAGCTTCTTCATTATCGGACTTATAATTAGACTCATAGTCATTATAATTATCTGACCCCAAGTCGGATATATTATCAGTACAACTGCTCGAATCACTTAAATATTCATCAGGGCCGGCGCCGTTGAAGTGAACGAGAGGGCCGGCTCCAGAGCGATCGGTTTGGTCGAAATTAGTTGGTGTATGCATGGTGTTAGTTCGAAAATGTTTATATTACTTTATAAAATTCGGAAATGTTTAATTTATTTTTTTTCGGTGATTGCAAAAAAGACAATGGCAAACTTAGTAAGCAAAACGTAAAAGGAAGCCATCTGGATGTATCTGAAAAAGTGTAGTCTTCTTCGTAATCATTATATAAAATATTGGAAGAAGACTACACTTTCCTAGATATGTCCCAGGTATGTATCCCTTTTCGATGAATGCAAAAAAGAGGCGTATAGCAAGATGGTAAAGGGGTCCAGGAATAAATACATTCTTAATAGGTGTCATCCAGGGTAGTCTTCTTCGGAAATATTATATAAAATTATGGAAGAAGACTACCCTATCACTAGTGTGTACCCGGGCATATATGACATCTAGGGTAGGCAAGCGTGCAAAAATATTGGCAGAAGGCTTCATCTTTCTAGATATGTGTCCGGGTATGTACTCGGGTATGTGCTTACAACATCCCGGCAACAAATAGGCAATAGTTGGGTTTCAAAACGGTGCACTTCTGGCAATCAAATGGGCCGGCCAAGATAATACACAAACTTTGGGATGTGAAATTAGCATTGGCTCCAATTTTCCAAATCGTATACCCAATCCCAGTAATCAAATAGGCCGAACACAATTCCTTAAAAATTACGTGAAAGTTGCGAGAAAGTTACGAGATAGTAACGGGAAAGTGCTCGGAACTGAAGGCGCAGTAAAATTAACGAAAATTTTGGCCAACACTATTCCATAAATTCGGCCAGAACTTTGGACATAATAACTCGGCATCCAAACCGGCATATGGAACTGGTGAACTAATAGAATTATTGGATCCCAAAATCATATGTCCAAAAAATCGGCCAGGTTAGCTTTATCATAATGTCGGCCAAAATTAGTAATACTATATGGCAGAGGGTGTTCCGGCACCGAACAGTATCACGTGACTGTGGCGCAGGAAGGCGCAGTCTATTTTTGCTTAATTCGGCCAGCACTATTCTATAAATTCGGCCAGATCTTTGGATATAATGATTCGGCACCCAAGCTAGCATAAAACTGATTCGGAATTGGCAAACTAATAGAACCATTTTAGTTTCCTGCCAGTTCCTCACCAGTTCCATGACAGTTCCAGGATACCACCAGGTCACTATCATGGTGCCAAGTTGGGTCCACAAATCATGTGCTCTAAAAATCAGCCGGAATTATGGCATAGTGCCAGCCGAAATTAACCGCGAATTTACTGCGCCACCCGTCGCCTTTTTTTACACTATTTCAGCATCTAGAAAGGCAACCAAATAGGCGCGAATTCTTAATATAGAACTAGCACCCAAACTAGCATAGAGGAGTAAGAGGACCGGTATCCTCATTATAGAACCAGGTATTCAAAGAAGATTGGAAAACCAGTACCAACAATATAGAATTTAATGTGTAGACGGACTAGAAACACGAAGAAAATGGTGGTATTTAGATCATATGGTGGTAGTTAGATTAAATGGTGGGTGGTAGTTAGATTATATGGTGGTAAATAATATGAATACCAGGAAGAGTTTAAAGGAATAGCTGGAATATAAAATAGATATCCATCACAAGAAAATAAACAGATTATATGGTGGTATTCAGATTATATTATTCAGATTATATAGTGGTAATTAGATTATATTACCCAGATTATATGGTGGTATTTAGATTATATGGTGGTATTTAGATCATATGGTGGTATTTAGATTATATAGTGGTATTTAGATTATATGGTGGTATTTAGATTATATGGTGGTACTATAATCTAGGGCAAGTGGGATACCACCATATGATATAATTATATCATATGGTGGTATCCCACTGGGTCAGGTCGGATCACAGGTTGACCTGACCTGATTCAGAGCTCTATTTCATATCAAAAGTTTGTTCAATTTTTTGTAGGTAAATTTTAGAAGGATAAGATCATTTTCTTTCAACCAAATTGCTACTGGTTATAGTGAGGTTGCTTGAAAATAGCCAAACTTAGTGACAGAAAACTTGTAATAAGAGAATTTAATGATCTGAACAGATTTGAATTTTAATATTTCTAAAGTTTTGTGTTACCTTTTGAAAGGATTGAGATTTTTCTAATAAGATTTTTATAACATATTATCCTTTATTATTATTAACATTTCATAATATAACAGAACACTTTATTGTGATAGAATAGGAGACAAATTTTATTTTAAATACAATTAAAGATAGCTAGTATTACAAAAATGTAAATCAGCCAATAAACGATAGGAATTATGATCACGTATATCATGTGTAAAGTGGCCAAAATATCTGATTTAATAGTAAAATAGTCTGACTTTGAATTGCTAATACTCTACTAAAAATCATTTTATAAAAAAACTAAAATAATAGTTTTGTTAAGCTTGCTTATTATTTTTTTTGAGTTAGTAGTAGTAATTTAAATTTTATCAATTTTATTTATTATGACTAAGTTGTTTACACTGTATAAACCTTGCTAATATTGTTTCAAGAATTAATACAAGTTACATTTAGTAGAAGTGTTTCTTTTGCTTCTCCTGAAATGTTTAGAATTCAATAATAAAATTTTTGGTAATTTAGGAGGTATTACTAATGTTTTATCAAAGAAGGAAGATTTTATGTCTGATTTTCCATCCTATAATAAAGATATCAGAACTACTAATAACTGACTAGAAGAGGAAAAAGCCAGATTACTTTGGAAAAATACTTCTTATTTTTATTTTTTGATTTTAGATCTGTAAGGTTAGAACAGCATAATATTTATGGGTTAATATAAGGAGAGATAATTGGCAACTGAAAACTTAACTGCATAACTGCATAAATGTCAAAGGTAATAGGTGAGTACTAGAATATAATTGAAATCAGCTTTTTGATAGATATGATAAATGGAAAAATAAAACATATGAAGAATACCAAATAATATTTAATTTATAAGAAGAAATTTTATCATTACAGAATAATCTACTAAAAATATCAAAAATGGTAGAATATAGACCTCACAATATTTTATAGATGCCTTGAAGAAGATCTAGAAAATTAGCTTAGGGATATACAAAGATATTCTAAAGTTGCAGAAGTTGCAGAAGCACTTTTTACTATAGTTTTCTTAGTAAAAGTTACTATTGAAGCTTTGGAGATAGCTTTATTATTGATTTGAATCAAATCAAATATTTGAATACTTGATTTAAATTTGATTGAATCAAATCAAATATTCAAATATCAAATTGAATTGCAGAATTTTAGCTTTGGAAATTCCCTTCTGATACTAAAATATCAAAGAAAACTCAAATTCTCATAATTGATACTACTGCTTTCTGATCATTAATAAGCAAACTATAAAGATACATTATATAATAAGCCTTTTTATTTATGAATTTAGTTGATTTCTTCACATCAACAGATATAAATGGAATGTTTTGGTGCTTAGATATTACATTCTTAAGTATTGCAGTTAATCTAGCATCATTTTCTGCAACTATATTTAAAGCTTTAAATAAGTCAAGTTGACTTATAAGTTAACTGAGTTGAATTGAGTTTGAATTGAGTCAAATTAAAAATTTTCTGACTTATTGGATTTGAATTAAGTTATTAATTGAGTCGAATAAATAAATTGACTCAACTCATTTAAACTCGAGTTGACTCAGTTAATTCATAATTTTATATTATAATAAAGTTATTTTTGATATTTGCAATTATTTTTCAAATTTGTAATATTATCCCTTAAATTATAGGGTTTTACAAGTAAATTTGCCTACTTATTTACTATAAATTTCTCTTCTGATTTACTTTTATAAATAATTAATATTTTTTAAAAATTATTTTTTTAAATTAATTTTATAAATATATAATAAATTATAGTAAGTTTTATTTTTTAATTATATATTAAAAAGTTTAA